CTAAGCCATCAGGGGGTCATCCCCCAAGGGGTCCCAGACTGCGAGAGGGCACAGGCCAGGCTGAGGCCCCCCCCCCCCCATGAGTGCACAAATTTCATGTACCGGGCCTCTAGTACCAAATATAATTGGCTGATTTGATATGAAAGGCAGGGACACTTGCCCAGAGTTCAAGGATATTAACTTTTTAAAAAATCTTTATTGTTGAAATTATTACATATGTCCCCCTTTTCCCTTATTGACCCTTTCTAGCTTGTACCCACCTTCTGTCCCCATGGAACAAACTATCCAATCTCAGAGGGAAGGCAGGGGTGCATGGGTGGGAAGAGTTTAACCCATGGGCATAGACAATAGTGTGATTAAATCAACTTTTTAAAAATTAACAGATTTATTAAAATATAATTTACATACCATAAAATTTATCTGAGTTTTGTCAATTTGCATTAATTTTGATTGCCAGTAGGTATGGATTAATTCTACTATCTTACTTTATATATTCCATTCACCTCACTTTTGTTCTAGGTTTTATTCTTTCTCTACTGCCTTCGTCTAGATCAGTGGTTCTCAACCTTCCTAATGCCGCAACCCTTTAATACAGTTCCTCATGTTGTGGTGACCCCCAATTTCATTGTTACAAATTGAACATAATTAAAGCATAGTGATTAATCACAAAGACAATATGTAATTATATATGTGTTTTCCAATGGTCTTAGGTGACCCCTGTGAAAGGGTCATTCCACGCCCAAAGGGGTCGCGACCCACAGGTTGAATATTTACAATATGACTGCTCTGTTGTACAAAATGACTAAATCAGGTGTAGCTTACTCTCTTGTGGGCATCAAATGCTGTTCTATATTGATGTCTCCCCACCCCTTCCATTTTTTCCCTTCCTTCTAGTTTAGTATATACACCATTTCTCTTTTAATGATTATCTTAGAGTTTTTAGTATGCATGTTTAACTTAAATTCTAATTTCTAACATAAATGTTAATTCTTCTTGATTTGGTGGTCAGCAATGCCCTATATCTAGAAAAAATTAACCATTTTGTGGTTTAAATAAAGAATTATTTGCAAGCAGTATTAAGGTATTAATAATAACCCCTTTCATTTATATGGTACATTCAAATATATAATTTCACTTCATTATCACAATAACCCAGTGTAGCAGATATTATGTTGTAATTTTATTACCTATGAATAAAGAAACTCTTCAGAGAAATTGGTCATAATTATGAAGTTTATGTCCCATATGTAGAATTAAAATCATGACAAAATTCTCAACATGAAAATGTTACTTGTTACTTAATGATGATATTTGCATAAAGCCTAAATCTGGATTCTGTATGCTGAATCAGAGTCTCTCCTAGACAGGTAGCTCCCAAAAGGTTTTCTAAATGAGTGTGGTTATTGTTGCATTTTGCTTAGGATTAGAAAATCAGTTCACCTATTAAATGAAAACTTTTAAACTAGGCTAGAAGTGAACTTCCTAGACCAGTGGTTGGCAAACTCATTAGTCAACAGAGCCAAATATCAACAGTACAAGGATTGAAATTTCTTTTGAGAGCCAAATTTTTTAAACTTAAACTATATAGGTAGGTACATTCAACTTTAAATTCACGGTTTTCGTCTTCCGTTTTTCTTTGCTTCTTCTTTGTAGCCATCTCAAACAGGGCACCTAAAAAAAATGTTTCATTTTATAATAATAAAGCCACCAACACAAAATAATTACAATTCTTAAATTGATGACAAAAATACCTGTAGGATTTGCAGCTGGTTGGAAAAATACAGGTAACTTTATGCTTCGAGTAGGTACTTTTGTCACCCAAGCACGATTTGCAGACTCGACTAGCACTAACCACTGCACAATGAGACTGCTGACTGACTGGCTCACTCAACTCGTGCATGAATCGCGCTGCATATCCCTTGGCCCGCTTGCGCCGCATCTCCTGTCCCGACCAACCGACACCCCCCACTTCTTCTAACTCCACTTCTTCAAAATAGACTCGCCCAGGCCAAAAACGACTTCCTGCGCATGGGCCACAAAGTTTCAATAGCACTGTATGTGCGCGCCAGCATATGGTATTTTGTAGAAGAGCCACACTCAAGGGGCCAAAGAGCCACATGTGGCTCGCAAGCCGTGGTTTGCCGACCACTGTCCTAGACTGTATTTCTACTAATGAACACTTCCTGTTTATTGAGTATATACTCTGTGTCAGGTGCTATGCTAAATAGTTCTACTTTATATCACTTATCATTTCAAACTTATTTATTTGATTGCTCTCTTAAATCTTTCTTATTTATAAGCAATGATATCTACATCAGCAGGGCTTTGACATAGAACTATTCTGTGGAAATAAACTGTGTCTTGATAATTTTTCCACAGCATTACTGACTACTGTATAGTTCTTTAACTTATATTTTCAAAAGAAAGATATTCTTCTGATTATAAAATGTTCTGGTAACTAAAGAAAATAGAATTTTCTCCCATTTACCTGTAGCCACTCCCTTTTATTTGATTTATAAATTTTAAAATCAAGAATGGTTAATGTTTTATTTTTTCTAAGCTTAAGGGTCCATTCTGAGAGAGTTTTTCAAAATCTATGAGCAAAACAGAAGACTTAAACACCTTAAAATTAGCATTTTGTAATAGAGCATTTAGTTTCCTATGATCAAAGGAGAAATGAATACATCAGTGTTGGTAATGCAGTTCAAGGGAATTTCAAAATGTTATTAAAATGAAAGTATGTTAGCATAAACAGCAGAAAGTTACTAAGTCTGACACTTGCTTTCATAATACTATGTCCCATGCCTACAAAGAATTGGAATAAAGATGAAAGATTTACAATGAAAAGTGAAAACTTCTAGAAAATAAGGTGATTCATATTTTTCCTTTTCTCTTCCTTCCCCCAGACCAGAGTCAATCTGAGTTAGACTTGAGTGGGTCATTTAAAGAAGACTTAAAGGATACTGTAAATTTAAGAAGCAAGTATGTCCCTGGGGCTTTAGACAAAGATTTGGTAAGTTGGATACAGAAAAGAGTCCAATGATCATGGGGAAAAGGCATGATATTGTTCAAAACTTGTCCACTTTTACATGAGGATGAGTTGAGGGTAAAGTGAGGATATACAATAATCTCTTTCTATTAGTCTTCACAACCAGCATACAAAAATAACTAAGAATGATTTAGTAAAGGTAAGAGGTAATCAGAGGTAATCAGATTAATCTGGAAAGATTATCCTTAAGAAACACCTGTTGGGAATTTCAATTCCTACCTAAAAGCACATTACTTAATCTAAACCTGGGAAATGGGAAATATCAACATTTTCTAAATGAAATATTACTGGATTTAATCTGACTATGTATTTTATATGAACATTTCTACATCTCAAGTTACTCTCAATAAACTACTTTCTTGATTAAGACTAAATTATTGGAAAATTAATTTATAAAATGAGAAAGTTGAATTAGATTATTGGTAAGGTTACTTCCATTTCTAATGTTGTGATATTCTGAGTTCTATAATTGCTATAATGCAATTTGAACTCCATGGAAGAAAGATATAACACAAGTATTAAATGACAATAATATAATTTTTCCAAAGCAAGGCAGGAAACTTACAGTTCTAAAACTCAATGTTATTTACTATCTATACTAATTAAAGGGTAATATGCTAATTAGACCAGGAGACCTTCCTGGAGACTGGCCAGGGAGGGCAGTTGGGGGCCATGAGGCCGGCCAGATAGGGAAGTTTGGGGCCATGAGGCCAGCCAGGGAGGGCTGTTGCGGGCCATGAAGCCGGCCAGGGAGGGCTGTTGAGGGCCAGCAGGGGAGGGCAGTTGGGGGCAAGAAAGCCAGCAGGGGGGGAAGTTGGGGGGTGAGCAGGCCAGCAGGCAGAGTCATTAGGGGGGATCAGGCAGGCAGGCAGAGTCATTAGGGGGGATCAGGCAGGCAGGCAGGCGAGTGATTGGGACCCAGCGGTCCCGGATTGTGAGAGGGATTGGGCATAAACTGGCAGTCAGACATCCCTCGAGGGGTTCCAGATTGGAGAGGGTGCTGGCCGGGCTGAGGGACACACCCCCTCGTGCACGAATATTGTGCACTGGGCCACTAGTTGTATAAATAATAGGTATCTTAAAATCCACCACCAAAAAAAAAAAAAGGAAGCAAATAATGAGATCAAATGGTTTCAAAGTTTACTTGTACTCAACCTTTACAGAACAGTTAATTCCAATATTATAAAAATGTTTTTGATCTTAAAAACTCTAAAAAATCTTCAAATTCACAGTTTTAAACTATTATAAACTTCACTCTCAAACTTGATTTAAAAATAATTTAAAAACTACAAGTAAAACCTAGCAGTGAATGAAAAATATAGCAATAAGGATAACTAAGTTTTATTCTAAGAATGAATGGAAGAATTAATCTATGTAAAAATATGTATTACATAGCTAATATTTCAATATATTAAAGGAGAAAATACAAAACTATTTTTGCTAGATGCTGAAAACTATTGACAAAATTTAACAGTCATACCTAATAAAAATACAAATTTAAAACTAATATAAACCATTGAAATATGATTTTAGCCCTGGCTGGTGGCTCAGTTGGTTGGAGTGTCACCTGGAGCACCCATCTTGACAGTACACACACACACACACACACACACAAATGCATACATGCACAGATCAAACACTTTTTAATTAAAAAATAATTTAATTGCCCAAAGTAAATCACCTTAGATATCACCCAGGTCTGTGTGATTCTAAATTCCATTCTCTTTCCATAAATCTTCCACTAGGAAGGAGGCCCCACTCCTCTGATGATATAATTCAGGTTGAATGGATAGCAAAAGAGGAAAACCTAGAATAGGGCAATTTCTAGATATTTGTATATGATTTTTCAGGTATTTTAAAAAGAAAGTGATTTGGGGAGTGAAATGACTTTCTAGGAAAACAGTAAACCAAACCACTGATATTTGCCCCCTTCCTTAGGACTCCTCGGAAGAAACTGAAGAAAGTATTGATGATGTAGTGTCCTCCAGGTTTTCTACAAACACCCACAGCCTAGCAAGTGGCCTGTCAAGAGTAAGCAGTTCTCTAATGCACTGGAAGTTTATTCTTTCTCTTGTTGATTTTCTGTTCACTTCCAAAGGGCATATCGATGTTCTTGGGACAATGTCTGTTAGTGAGTTAAGTCATTATAGTCTTCCACTTGTCCTTAGCCCACAGAGTACTTTTTGGTCTAATTTTGTGTAGACTTTTCCTAAGGCTTCTCATTGCTTCCCTCTTCTTCCTTGGTCCTCACATAGGCTTTAAGACCTCTTCAGTCCTTAGTTCAGCTCAAGCCTATAAATTATCTCAATTTTCTGCTGATACATTTCCCTGCCACCATTCTCTCAACTCCCTAATTGTTCTCCACACTGCTGGCAGACATTCTCCTAAAACACATACCAAGCCAGGTTTCTCTCCTATTCAAACAGTGTCCATAGTTTCCCACTGCCAACAGAATAAAGACCCTTCTTACTTTAGTGTTCAGGCTTTCTTTAAGAGGTAGCCTTTAGGAACCCCTGCTACCTTTTACCCATCTATATGTCTGTAACTTTTTTCTTTGCTTCTCTAATTTCTATCTGTTATTTTAATACCTTTTTTTTTCCTTTTGACCTTCGTGTGACATCCTTAAAGAATTCTCAAGCCGGCTCTGACAAGAAATGGACCTACCTAAATGTGCCTGATGTTGACTCAGACACTGTGAGTTTTCAATCTTTCCTTTTCCTTCTTTCCAACCATACTTCACAAATTTTATGGTACAGGTAATCTGGTTAGGTGGGCAATTTTCCAGCATATAGCTTTTTCTGATTTGTATTCAATTAACCAGAGGTTCTCTTTTAAAAGGTAAATAAAATGATCAAAATCCAAGTATTCCCCCCCAAAAAACACTCATTAAACATTAGAATATGAGGACTAGTCAAAAGATACATGGTCCAAAATTATTTACCATTGACGAGATACCTTTAGAATAAATACCTCTATTTTATTTTTTTAAGTTCTTACCCAATGATATTTTTTCATTGCTTTTAGATAGAGTAGAAGGGAGGGAGGGACGGACGGAGGGAGCAAGAGCGAGAGTGAAAGCAAGAGAAAGCTCTATTTTAAATCACAGCATTGGCTTGGTTAAGAGCATAAAGTTTGGTTAGTAGTAAAATTTCCTTAACTGCCTAAATTTCTCCCAAGCTTAAGCATTTGTGAGTTCTTAAATTTTCTTCCATCTATAGGGCCCCTTGCTTACAGAGGAACTTCTTTGAGTAGTGGCTACAGAACGATGTGGTGAGCCACGAATTAGTGATACAAGGAAATAGTGTGAGGTATGTTAGGGAAGTCCTCAGACTAAAAATCTGCAGAGCTTGTTGTATGTCTTGGCGCTGCCAACAATTTCTGTGAGCCAGAATTTTCTCATATATAACATGAGGAGGTTGGGGCTGGTTCTTGAAGGCCTTGAAACTCAAATGATAGTTCATGGACCAGCAACATTGCATTACCTAAAACAGATATTCTAAAACTTTGTCAGTTCAGGGAGCCTGCAGTATCTCAGTGATACTTTCATGGCGCTCCTGGACCAAAAGTAATACCTGAATAGCCAATTTATTAATTATTTAGGTAAAAAATAAATAAAACAATAAGCACTAGTATCCTAACAATTTAGCCAATTGAAAAAATAATATACATAAACTGAGAGAAAAATAGTATTTTATTCCATTATTAAATAGCCCTTAATATTTACTAATGGGATATGTGTGTCTGTTGGCACTACATGAATTGTTAAATCTTGGAATCTGATTGGACGGCACCACTTTAATTTCATTTTTGTTTTTTTCAATTCTCACCAGAGGATATTTTTCCATTGGTTTTTATTTTTTTTTAATATATTTTATTGATTTTTTACAGAGAGGAAGGGAGAGAGATAGAGAGTTAGAAACATCAATGAGAGAGAAACATCGACCAGCTGCCTCCTGCACATCTCCCACTGGAGATGTGCCCGCAACCCAGGTACAAGCCCTTGACCGGAATCGAACCTGGGACCTTTCAGTCCGCAGGCCGACGCTCTATCCACTGAGCCAAACCGGTTTCGGCTCCATTGGTTTTTAAAGAGAGTGGAAGAGAGAGGGAAAGACAGAGAGAAATATTGATGTGAGAGAAACACATTGATTGGTTGCCTCCTGCATGACCCCTGACAATGGCCCCGGCCAGGGAGAAGCCTGCAACAGAGGTATGTGCCCTTGATTGGAATTGAACCCTGGACCCTTTGGTCTGCAGGCCAATGCTCTATCCACTGAGCCAAACCGGCTAGGGCTAATTTCTTGTTCTACATTGATTTTTATGCAATACTTGTGTTTTGTGACAGCAACTGCCAAAAACTCAATTTCACACAGATAGGACTTTATAAAGAATAAAATGTAATTTAATGTTGATACTGCAAACTACTGTTTGTAGTATATATGGTGTCTGATAGATGACACTATGTTTCCCTTGTAAATTTAAAATACTTGTGTGCCCCTGTGAGTTTGCTGAGGTGCTGTGGAATTCCTCGACAAACAGTTTGGAAATTGTGGACCTAGTAGAAAAGCAAAATCTCAGACCCAACCTAAGATAGAATAGATCTGAATACTTGTTTTAATAGATCCTCAGGTGATTTATATGCAATTATAGTTTGAAAAGCACTGATAAAAGCCACCTACTACCATGACAATTCTATTTCTTTATTTTATGAATAGGAAAGACAAATTAGGTCACTCACTGGCTCTCTTTAAGTTATAATTTCCAAGTATAGTCCTCCCTCGGTATCCACCTGATGTGTAACCTGTGGATATGGCAGGCTGCCTCTAATTATGGCATCCTTGGTTTGCTCTTGCCCTTGAATTAAGCCTAGAAGAGATACTAGCCATATGACCCACATCCTGTTCTTTGAATAGTCTTTACTCTTCGTGATTGGAGGAATGTAATAACTTTATATATGTACAGGGTGTAGCTAAAGAAAGTTTACAGTTGTTGTATGGATATTAATACAATAATGAATAAATAATAATACAGGAATAAACTGTTTCCCATACTCATGACTGTAAACCCACTTTTC